TCCTCTATACAATTTTCGAATATGGCTTATTTTGCAATTTTACTAAATGGAAATCTGAAATACTTACCAAATTCTGAAATTTCAGACTCCAGCAAGCTTAGCCGAGAACTGACGGATGGTGACGGCGGAGTTTTGAGAGTATAGAGACAGATGTAGCGGCGGTGGCGACAAATGGTGAAGACTGAAGAGAGACTCTCTTAGAGAGTGAAGAGGAAACGGCGAGAAGATGATTGAATGTCGAATGGGCGGTATTCAGGAATGAGGAACTGTCGAACTGAAGAGACAGAGAACAAGAGGTGAGAGGTGAGAGTTGGAAGTCTTGAAAAATGAAGATGATGGTAACGATATTGTGGGCTTTTTGGGCTGGGGCTTTTTGTTAGGGCCACTTAATATTTTCGGCCTAATTCGCTGTATTGGCTTTTTTTTTTGTGAGGCCCCAAAAATTTTGTGGCCCAAGGCCACTGCCTTAGTAGCCTTGGGCCAGGGCCTGCCCTGCAGGTCACCTACCTCAAAAATTAGTAGTCATCATCCTCATACACGATCTTGTCTGAATTTTTCAATAATTTGACGGGTGCGTCCATGTCCAATAAAAAACAAGGGTAAAAAAGTCTGAATACATTTTTCTTCTCTCAAATTTCCTTACAGTATGCTTCTTGTTTTTGAGTAGCAATATTTTATTTTTTCATTTTTTTTTATTTTTTTCCATGTCGTCCACTAAAATTATATTAAAATTAGAATATATACATACATATCATGTTGCTAAACTTTATGCATGAAAGTCTTATACTCATGATTTTATTCCAACCTACCAACAAGCTAACAGATAAAAGTCAAGGTTCGCTTCGTACTAATTCGTGTTAGTGTTGAAAATTGTAGGTTGTGTAGCTTAGGATGTCGTATAATTTTGTGTGTGTGTGTCTAGAGAGAGAGAGAGAGAGAGAGAGAGAGAGTATTATGCACGGCATTTGAAAAAATAAAATATAAAAAATTGACTTTTTGGTTCTTTAATTAATTGTGTTAATTCCTACCTATCGACTAGCTAAGATTAATTTCAATAGTCAAATTTAAGTGCAATAATAGTTGAATAAATAAATAGCTAAAAATAGCCTTAAATATATACCATTGCTTTTTCTAATATAAATTTTGTTGATTTTTTGCTTAAGATATTAATTCTCTTTGCTAAATCAGATAATATATGTATAGTCTGAACAAATTTTATAATCAAATGGTCTCAGACTCTAAAATATTTACATATATTTTTAAAAAAATAATTAAATATTTTAAATCGATTGTGAAATAAAGAATTTGGTTTGTTGGTCGATTGTCAAATACAGCAGTTGTTGTGAAGTGTATGGTAAAGCACTTGGGAGTCCCCACTTTCATACATTTATAACTATGAGGTCTATATTGGCGGTCTAATGTTATTTTTAGTTACAAATTTATTTTGAGAAAATGATTTGGGTCATATTTTTTTATTGAACAAACAAATACTAAGCACCCCACCCCCTTACCATCACTTTTGCCTATC